GATCACAAGGCAGTCCTCACCAGAGTCTCTCCACCAAGTGGGCTTGGAAACCGGGTCCATACACCAACCAGGGTGTATTATAATTTGGCTATATGCTGGAACCTCCTTAAGTTAGTTTTAGGGGGAAATTTGCCCTAAGATCAAAGCTAACCTTGGACAATCAGCAGGGAAGTTAAACTGGTTAACAATTAATTCCCTCAACGACAATATGCCAAAAAGCTTAACTTTAGGGGGCTCCTGGCGTCCGGGCCCCTGATGCTAATAGGGTAGCACGGAGCAGGTCACTGACTAAGAGATAACTTAAGATATTGTCTAGACATGCTGCTAATCAACATGATACGTAGCGGAAGCAGCCACCTTTTTGCGATAGCGTAGCAGCTCAGTGGAGAATTGCTTTCTGATATCGCTTAGCATTGAATGGTTGAACAATAGATTTAGCCTTTCAAGCACAGGAGCATCCTTACAGCGTATCTGGTCCCGTACGGATCCCATAGGATTCTCATATGGGAGCCTTACTTTCTAGAGAGCACTTAAGTAACCCTTCTTCTTATTTTTGTTTACGACGGATACTTAAGGGGAAGGGTCTAAGGGCTAGGGGAGCGCAACGCCTTTGTAATCAGAGGCAAGATAGTGAGGGCGCCGATAATCTATCGGGTCTAAGTAGTAGTCTCCCTGAGCGTTATAATTACCCGTTGATACCTGCTAGGAGAAACAAGCAGAAGGTAGGATCAGTTAGCTAAGGGCAGGTAGCGGGAGGCCGAAACGCTCGGGGCACAGGCAATAGCATGATTTACGGGTTAGCTATCGGGGGAGCCATATAGCTCCCTCAAATACCAGATGCCATAGGGTCCCGAAATGTCGTACTATGTACGATTCGTCCTCCGAGTCCGTAGGCGTCCATTTCGGGAGCCAAGCCTGAATTTACGTTAGCTAACCCCTCTAACCGTAAGCCTCACCGATACCCTGTCCTAGAGGCCACCCGGGTTACTTGCCATTTATATATACTAATGAGTATTGATCCGCCGCCAGCGAAGGTGGCGGGCTCTAGATAACAGGATTAGTAACCATAATGAAAGGCAACGTACACCACACAATCTAGGGGTAGCGGAACTCCCAGCAAATGGATTGAAGCTGGCTCATAGACCGGAGCACGTGGACATAGCTGGGGAGAGAATGCTGACATGAGTAGCGTTAAAGCAGGGGATAAGCCCTAATCGCCGAATGCAGAAGGGTTACATGAGTAAGGAGATTTCCACCATGAGTTAACCACCGGCCTCTAAGGCAGCGGTTACCTCCCGAGTAATTAATGCCGATGAGTAACTGTATGAGATCGGCACAATCCTTTGTATTAAGATTACCCTTAAGTAACTCCTTCGGATCGCTACCACTATAAAGCCCCTTGCGCCTTACTGTGAACTCTGCTGGCCGTGCCGATGACCGCCCGAGGAGCGGCATGTGGGACTTAGTCCCACAGAGCGCTCCTCCTGATGCCGCCCGGGCCCCTTTGGGTGGCAGCATAAGGTGGATTAAGCTATTAGTGGCCTGCTCCCTAGCCATCTACCCTTTTTAAGGTAATCTTTAAGCCATTAAGGTTCGGGAAATGCCCGTAAAAATAAGATTAAGTTCAAAGTTCGAATTTCTACCGTACCTAATCCGACTCAGGTCTGCAGGTAGAGGATACCTAGGCGTAGAGCAAATCGTCTTGAAGGAACTCGGCAATCTAACCCCGTAACTTAGGGAGAAGGGGTGCCAGCGCCACCGGTTAGGGATGCCATTAGGCTTCTTAGAATTAATTCTAACCTTCGACGTCGATCGATGTAGTGTCTAAGCAGAGAGCCGAGCCCGCCCGACACGGTTCCGGGGATCGGCGCAACCGGTAGCTGGCGGCAGAAAAAAGGGGGGCGCGACTGTTTACTTAAAAGTACGACCTGCAAAGCTATCAGATGCAATACGGTGTGAGTCCGTTATGGAAGTAAATCTCCATAAGCTTACCTACGGTTGCATAGTTGGCAACGATTATGTGATAAGTCGTAGGAACAATGTAAGACATCTATCTAAGCACAAGATAGTACGCTGCTAAGCTAGATTACTATGGATAACGAAAGTGAACATACATTGAGGCGTCGTTAAAACAGAATATCGAAAGTGCTTGATACGATATCTTGAGTATTGGATTAATCTGCTTTTAATAGATTATTTGATTTACCGTTATATGCTCCGGCGTAGAGTATGATCCTAAGGTAATCATAAAGGTGTATCTGATGGAACAGGGTAACCCCAATGATCTCCTATTTTAGGTAGGATAAGAGTGATTTTATCTATTTGATCAGTGGGGAGAGGACAGTGCAAAAAGCGAATGCCTTTCTGTAATGGAAAGGATAGAATCTATTATGATTTACTTCGAAAGAAGGCCCACTTGCACAAGGATGTTGAAATTCGATAAGAAATTGATCTTCGTCTTTAGGAATAGTTTAGTTTAAAACGGCTATAATACTACAATTAGAGATTCCTGAGTAATCTATCGATATTTCAATGTTTGAGCCGTATGCGGTGAAAGTCGCACGTACGGTTCTGAGGAGGGGAAAGAGAGAGATCTCCTACCTATTCCGCCCACCGGACTCTGCTAACACAAGCGTGGAAGTATAGAGTCTGATACCTGCCCGATGCTAGTAAATGTACAAGGCCGGTAATTGCCGCCCTGGCAACAACTAGTTAATGGCGGCTGTAACCTTGACGGTCTGGCTAAATAGGGCCGTCTTAAAACTCAACTATTTGCTGAGATACCATATTAGGTGAGTAGTACATGCGTCTAAGAAGTTGTAGAAGCTGTGAAAGAATTTTAGTAACAATGTTCTCTACACTTGTTTTATTCTTTAAGGCCTGTGACAATCTATTCGATAGTGGTAATCAGCAGGAAAGACTAGTGGATAATAGCAATTTCAACTCCGACCCCTCCGAAATCCAATCCGAAGGCAAGAAGTACTCCTTAGGTGGGTTCGCGGAAGGCGAAGGTTCAGTTTCAGCTTCTGTCAAAGTTCATTCTGACTTCCGATTTGGGGTAAATGTTCAACCAGAATTTGGTGTAACTCAACACCAGAATGGTAAGCATATCCTTGCAGAGTTTAAAGAACTCTTTGGCGGAAAAGGCAACCTTCACTTGAAACCCGGAACCAAAGACGTGTGGGAATATAAGCTATCTGGCTTGACTAATCTTATAGATCACGTTGTACCTCAGTTTTTACCTCAAGTATGTAATACCTTTCAGTGGTAAAGTAAAAGAATTCAACATTTTCCTTGAAATCCTTGAGCGGAAACAACGAAAAGAGCATTTTACTCAAGAGGGTCTGATAGACATGGTTAAGCTTGCTTATACTCTCAATGAAGAGGGTAAAGGGAAAACTCGTAAACGAACTTTGGAGGAGGTACTTGCTATTATCCGGGACAAACATGCACACTTTGCAAATCCCAACAACTAGAATCCTCAGAAACCATATGCCGAGCGAGGCCTTTTCTTTTAGGATATTTAACCCTACCTTTATTTTTAACCTCTAATTTTTACCTTGTAATTTCTTGTTAAAAACTCCCCTCTCAAACTTTATGGTAGGTTGAGAAATAAAGGTCCTTGAAGGTTTGGTTCAATCCTCTACGAGAGTAGCAGGTATAATACCTAAGGTAGATTTTCATTCGCTGCCCCTGTATCGCATAGCGAATACTTTGCCATACCACTGTATGCTGGAAACCTTCACACCCTGGGAACCCTGTGTGGGTACCAGGTTACCGGCAACCAGCAGGTAACCCCTTGGGCACCTCAGAGACTATAAGTGGACACTCTTTAAATTATACATATGTAACATATAAACTTTCAACTAATCTATGAGCTTTCACGTATTTGATCTGCTTTATACAGAACCTGCCCAGGTGTATGGATTCCTTACCTCCGCGGGTAAATCAGGACTAGTCGCTGGGGTTTATCTCTGGATAAACAGGCTGAACGGGAAGATGTATGCAGGTTCGTCAGTGAACTTGTACAAGCGGATGTCGCGCTATATGAAAGGGACTAAGATCCACGGCATTATTGGACATGCTCTTCGCAGATACGGTCTTGCCGGTTTCGTCTTAGTCATTTTTCTCGTATCCGACCCCGGTTCAGTCCTTGCTCTGGAGCAGTCTGTGCTCAAAAGGACAACTGTACCTGTGCCTATAATATTCTTCCCAATGCAGGCTCGCCTGCTGGTTTTAAACACAGTGATGAGACGAAGGCGAATATGTTCGCTGCACAGAAGGGGAATACCAATGCTAAGGGCTATAAGCAATCAGATGAACACAAGGCCAAAATCGCTGCTTCAAATTATAACAGTGGTAAAGCGGTCTATCTCTATGTCGTACATACTCACGACCTCGAGCTTCAATCCGCCCACTTTTAATACTTACAGGGTGTCTGAAATTTTAGGGATTCCTAAGTCTACTCTGTACAACTATATTAAAAACCGAACCTCTTCAAAATTAACGGGGTCTCTTATATACGCCTCTTATGACGGGAATCTTACTTAAAATACCTCCCAGTCAGTCTGGTTTGTTAAAGGGCAATTTATTTTAAGAAAGGAATTGATTTGCAGTTAACAAGCTTTCCAGCTTGGCCTTAGAAGGTGATAGCCCCTGTAGCTGTTGTTGTTGTTTACATGAGAGTGAAGATATAGTCCAACCTAGAATCAAAAATTCCTTGCTACTTTATTGTAGCCACGGAGCTCCTCTCCGTCGCGGAGTATCCCGGGACGCCGCGAGGCTCTCGCCGATCCTTTGGATCGGCAGGACGCCGAGAGGTTCTTAGCACGTGGGGAATAACTAGATAATCATCAATGAGCGAAATTTCTTGGCATTTAAATGATGTCCCGCATGAAAGGTTTAATGTTAAGCCTTATGGTGATCACAAGATCTCATTTACAACTCCCCTGTATTCGGGGAATCCCTTAAACCCGCTCATCATATATGATATTAGTACTGGGATAATGGGTAATCCGAAGGAAATTACTTGCAGATGTAACTAATTAGAATAGCAGAGAATAAAATATCCAGTTGGCAGAGGACTAAGCTAATCTACCGAAGGTACGGCTTCTGGGCCCAGGCTCCATAACCCGAGGGAGCTCGCGCACACTGTCCCAAGCTCTCGTTGGCGGTTTAAATGAAAACCGCCCTTATATGCCTTCTATGATGACCTACTGTATTGGGTTGTACTATTTATAAGGGGAAAAGAAGTGTAAGGGGTAATGTGTTAAGCAACCAGGGCCCCCTCTATAGAGGGCATTCTCGGCTGCGGAGCAATGTAGCTGTTCCTTATGGAATGCTAATCTAAAGCTAACCATCATGTCTGCAAGTATAATCCTCAGTGACTCTACGGGTACTCCGGCTTATAGGGGTGGTGGCACGTGGAAACTAAGGAGCTACCAGGGACCGGGCACCGCCAGGATATGGAAAAGTAAAGCCGAGAAGAGAGAGTCCTCCGATGATCATAAATGATCATTTAAATTTTGGTTAACGATGCTCCCACTGTCTCCAAGACGAGCTCGGCGAAATTGAATTATCCGTGAAGATGCGGATTAGCCCCAGCTAGACGAGAGTGCGACCAGCTAACTTATGAGCACAATGTGGAGAATACCCACCAAGATGTCCATCTCTTGAGCCTAAGATAGCATGCGTTGGGAGAAATCCTGAGGTGTGAAGCCTATCTGAAAATACAGAGCATATCTTAACTATCCAAGGTTGTGTCTGTAGGCTAGATACCTAAGGGTAACGCAAGTGAACCTATGGCCCTAAGCGTCGTTAAGCTGACCAAAGGAAAGATAGTTGTTACCTTTGTAATTGATAAGGGTTGGACGTTCTCGTGTTCGACTCGATGGACATTAAAACTCAATCGGCGTATAGTAGGACCCTAAGGGTATCAATAAGGTGTGCTCATAGGGACTGGGTAAGCCCAATGATCTCCTCTCCAACAGGTGGAATCAAAGTAATTTGGTTTAACGATCAGTGGGTAAAGGATTGTCTAAAAAGCGAATGTCGGTGTGTAATGCATCGGATAGGATTTTCTAATCTGCACTGAAAGGTGGCTGACTTAGACTATAGGTGCTAAACCACATAAATATGACAACTAAATATGATAAGGACCAAAGAGCCGGCCGGCGGACCAGCCATGGTTCCATGCCCGGCCGCTCGGTCAAACCCCGCCGGGTTATTTTCCCGCAAGCGCGGAGTCTCTCATAAACTCTGAGTTTGATCTATACTAAGCCTGGGAGAGTAGTCGAGCAAGGCAACCTCTACTCACGGAAGGCTAGTCCCCTACCCTGTGTTTAAAACAGGCTTGTTTCAAGTTTAATACTTCATTAAACACAGCCACCTTATTAGGCAAACCCGTATTATTGATGACTACCACAATGAAATTCAATTGTCGTTGCCTTGCCTCTGTATGTCCTTTGCTGTCAGAGTGCCGGGTAAGAAGCCTCCCGACGGTGCAACTCCGTAGCCTGGGGTCAACACCTGACTGCTCAAAGAGAATACCTGAACCACCACTTCTTAGGCCTATGGAACCTAATTATGTCACAGGGTTGATAGATGCCGAGGGTTCATTTAACATTACCATCTCTAAGGACGAGAATCGTACAACAGGTCACCGTGTCGTCTGCGAAATGCACGTTACACAAAAAGCCCATTCTGCTAGTGTACTCTATCTTCTCAAAGAGTTTTTTGGTTGCGGAGTTGTTAAGACCGATAATAAGAAAACGGACGGGTTAAAATATCAAATGAGTAGCATAGAGGACATTAGTAGAGTCCTAATCCCATTCCTGGAGAAATTCCCTTTATTGACTTCGAAGTATCTTAATTATACTACCTTCAAGGAAGCGGTAAAGATGCTTGAAAATAAAGAGCATTTAACTTCTCAGGGCATAGAGAAACTTAAAGGTTTGGCGTCCCAAATGAACACCAATCGAACATTTGAGGAAAAATGGGATTTTGTCAACGAACATTCTTCTAAGTCTACTATAACCCCCGGATGGATTCGAGGCTTCACGGATGGAGAAGGCTGTTTCTATTTCTATATGGGTAAACAAAAATTGAATGGGAAAGTATCTTCGACCTGGATTCTCCAAGCTTCTCTAGAAATAGCCCAAAACACACACGACGTTGCGGTACTTGAACTCATTCGATCCTTTTTCGGATGTGGTATAATTAAACCTAAAAGAGCCGATAACGATCTAAAGACGGCACAAAGTGTAAGAACTGTTAGCCGTTATGTTGTAAGTAACCTTAGTGATGTAATGAATGTAATTATACCCTTTTTTGATGCTCATCCTTTGCTTACCTCTAAATCCTTAGACTATGAAGACTGGAAAACCCTTATCCAGATGAAAACTTCAAAGGAGCATTTCACTGAAGCAGGAATCCAAAGAATGTTTCAAACTAAGTCTCGTATGAATAGAGGTAGAAAGGATTTTAGTAGACCCAGCCAGTAGGTCCTTATCATATTTAGGCTTTATTTATTTCAGTTTAGTGCTTGAGCCGTATGCGGTGAAAGTCGCATGTACGGTTCTTAGAGGGGGAAAGTCCGAGAGGACCTACCTATCTCAACAGACCCTTTGAAGCTTGACTGCAGCTACCTACTCTGCTACCGGAACTCGGGATATCTGAACAAGGCAGTCGACTAGACTCCAGTGAGATACCTTGTCCTAGGTTCTAGTAACTCATAATAAGGTGGTTAGTAGGCAGTTTTTTTGGGGCGAAATCCTCACCTAAAGTAACTGAGGAGTCCGAAGGTGTGCTTGGGTTGGATGGCAACCAACCTAAATATCTCTTGGAGAGGGTTAAGATCCGGATCAGCTCAAGAAAACGGTTATCTGCTGTTCAGCGGAGAGGGGCCCGGCCGGACCATAAAAAGGGGATGGGCGATAGCCGAAGGGAATCGGGATCCGGCGCTCCTGGCGTCCCGCCGAGCGACCGGACTACCCTAGTAGTGTAGGGCGCCGGTCGACTCTACCGGGGTAGACCAGGA